GTGCAACTAAATACTTAAAAAAATAAAAGTAACTATAAGAAACAGAGTTAAGTTATAGTTAAAGCTAATATAAAAACTTATTAGATAAGTTTTAAGTAACTTAAGATAAAATAATTAATAAAAATTATTATAAACTATTCTTTAATCTAAATAACTTACTATAAAGATAGAATAGTAAGTAGCACAGATAGTACTAAAAGCAAGCTTTTAAAGAAAGATAGAAGTGTATTATAAGAAAGACAAATTGCTACTAAGCCTTGCTTGTTAGGATTCATGCTTATATACAAAGCACAGGTCATGTGACCTCCAAACAGGTCAGGGGAGGCCATACTGGCCCGCTCTGGGACATCCGGCCTTACACCTACCTTAATGTGCTAACGATTGCTCTAAGCAAGCTTTGCTTTTACAGATCATTTATAGGCTGTTGTAGTATTTTATATTTTTTGAAAAGACCCTATACATAGCTATAGCATGTTGCTTTAAAATGTTACATCTTATTTAACAGCCTAAAGCGTAAGCTGTATCTAATATTCTTTTAGCATGTTTAAGTAGTGTTATTAAGAATGCATTAGTGTAAAAAAAGTAGTTTAGTAGGGTCTTAGTAAAAGTAAGTAACTTAGGTGTGTAAGCAACTTGCCTGTAAAGTCTGTTATGTTTATTCCACCTTTTTAGCTATATTAGTATGTTAGGGATTAGCATTATCTACATTAGTGTGTTAGAGATTAGTATTAGCTACGCTTAGTTACAGTCTGTAGTTAGTTCCATGCTACAGTTAAATGTTGTTGTTATACATCTATTACCTGTCTAATACTACTTTGCTAAGCATTATGCTGCAACTATTCTTTAACCTAAACAAGCCACCTTAATGCGCTAACTATTACTCTAAGCAAGCTTTGCTTTTACAGATTATTTATAAACTGTTGTAGTATTTTATACTATGCAAGAATACTTAGCTTAAGTATTCTCGTGCGAACCTTTTAGTATAGTAGGGAAAGTCGTATAGTACCGGCTTGGCAGGCAGGGCGCCTACCTTATTACTACTATAGCATATTACTTTAAAAGTGTTATGTTTTATTTAAAAGCCTAGAGTTTAAGCTATATCTAACTTTTTTTAGCGTATCGAAATAGCGTTGTTAGGAATGCATTAGTGTAGAAAGAGTAATTTAGTAGAGTCTTAGTAAAAGTAAGCAACTTAGGCGTGTATGCAACTTGCCTATGGTGTACTTTAACTATTATTACTATAACAGGTACATTTTGCGAATTCTATATACTACACTCTACTAAAAGCATGCAAGCGATAGTTTCGTAACACCGGCCACGCTTCAACTAACTGTAAACTTATTACTCAACTCTTAATAAATTTCGGCTTGACCCTCAAGTTCTTTAATAACTTGGCCGATCATAGCATGCTTAGCATTGACTTTTGGTCCTTTAAACCACTTGTGGGCATCAACAGCGAACCAGAGTAAGGCAACTAACATCGGAGCCCCGTACACAAGAGACGTCCAATTCATATTGGAAGAGCTAGCAATCAAGTCAATAACTCCTCTGTATACGATAGGATTTCGAGGCACTTACTTGAGACTACCTCCTGTATTGGTAGGTAAACACAATATCGGAACCATTAATGCGACAAATCCAACAGCAGCAACTCCGACCGGCTTGCCAAAGTGTCCAAGATGCCAAGGGCCCCTTCGGAATCTACTGCCGACAACAAAAACTCTCAAAGAGATGGGGATCGCGAATGCAACAAAGCAAGCAATGGCGCCGACGGAGAAGATAGCTAGAACGGTCACCTGACCAGCAAATATGAGACAGCAAAGCAAGACGCCAACGAGACAGTTGAACCATACCGCATTTACCGGTGTCTTTGTGACTTTGTTTACCTTTGCCCAGTATTTCGACATGGGAAAGCAGCCGTCACGGGCGTAGGCGTACGTGACTCGAGATGCCGCAACCATGCAGCCTTGACCCATGGAGAACCCAGCTATTATAGTCAATGCGAGAGCAGCAAGTCCCGTCTTCATCGGTAGAACCTGGAGCAAGTAAGTCGCCCACGGCTGGCCAAGATCAGACTCGAAGACCGCTTCAATATCGATGACTGTGTACGCAACCACAACTTGCAAGACCCAGCCAAACATGCCGCCGATTGCAGACGTCAAAACAATGGCACGCGGAGAGGCGACATCAGCAACGGCGCATTCCTCGCTCAGATGAAATGGCGCATCGAAGCCCGACATCGCCCACATTGCGCCAGTGAAACTCATCAAAATAGCGATACCATTAGGGAAGTCCGTACCATTTTCGATATCGCTCCAAACTTGATGAGTAGGTCTGAATTTGGGATCTGTTACGGCAGCCGTAGGTATGAGAATGATGACAACGATAACTGCCACCATGTTGAAACTGGAGCCCAAGGAATTGAAGACGGCGATCCATTTGGTTGGCATGCTGCTGAGGCAACTTTGGACAATCATGAGGAACGTGGCGAGGAGGAATAGCTGGTAGTTCTTTGATTCGAAATTTGGATCGGCAATCGAGAGGACCGCGAGAATCATTGCTGCCACGGCATAGTTGACCGAAGGCGCGGCTGTGACTTGTCCGATCCAACTGGACCAGCCAGTCGCCCATGCTGCAACAGGACCCCAGCCTGGGGGAGCAAGAACGGCCGACGCATAATAGAGACCACCACTATGGAAAAGAGCGTTAGATTATGCTATGATAGATGGCGACTGTAATTCTGACCTTGTTGGCATCGATGAGCAGAGTTCGGCTAAACTTAGGGCGACGCATTGAATGAAGACCATGGCAATTATCCATCCCCAGATCATGCCTAAAATAGGGATGGTGTCAGCTCCATGTTTTCTATCAACTCGTCGAGTATACTATTTGATGATGATGATGAAGATGAAGACCAACGCACCCGCGGTTCCAGCGGAGCCCATGCCATAGAACAAAGTCGACGCGAAGCTTGGAAGCAACCCCAAAACGGCGAAGCTAACACAGAAGGCGCTCCATAGACTGAATTCTCTTTTGAATTCTTGCTTGTAACCCAAGGACAAGAGGACCTTCTCATCGTGGTTAACCGGCAACTCGTCTTCAGTGCGCTGTTGTAGAACCGGTTCCATCGTGGATCATGTCAATTCAGCCGTTTTGACGCTCGGAGTTTACAACGCACAGCAGGCTAGTGGGATACAGCGATGGGGATTTGAAAATGGTTCGTTAGTATGGAGGGTGTTCGGTGGACAAGGGGTGCTGGAAGTTACGGTATATAGAGGATCTAGAGAATATAGGAAACGGGGCGCCCAATGATGAAGCCATCACATGTTTATACTGGAGAGCCGCAAGGCAAGCGAGGAGATCTATCCCCTCACCCTATGTGGGGGAATCAGCCTCACCGCGAGACACACGTGTCAACGTAACTCAGCCTCCGGATAACATCTGCGGCTCTAGAACCACTCATATCTTAGTAACGCAAAGGAGCTTGAATATATTGAATCCAGCTAATAGCTGGAGAAGATTTGATCAAAGCCACCGGCGCGCTTCATATTCAGCTCCTCAAAAAAAGCGTCAACATCCCTATTTTGCAGTGTAGGCGGTGCGGGCTCTTGCGGTCATAATGCTCCATACTCGGATCCATCGATCCTAACATATTTAGGGTATTGAGGCTCTTGTTTGCGCAGGTACAGTGCGTAGATCTGGTGTTTTCACCAATCTCGTGTTTAGATTCAGATGTGACCGGGGCACTGTTGCAACTGGAGACGAAGGCCGTTTTCAGAGACGCACTCGGTACTGGCATGGCGACAAAATGGGCGAGTAGTGTCAAGTCACTCAGGCTTTGTTAACGGCTAAAATATTCGGCTTTGATAGGAACGGGAGTTGCCGGGAGGTAGTAAAATCCAGAGCCATGACGACAGGAGTATTCAAGCCTACTCTTCCTGGCAGAGGCACTCGGTGAGTTCCGTAGGCGCCGTGGATATCAATAGCTCTCTCATGAGCGGGTTCGTAGCGCGAGCCACCGGACAGACATAATTTGCATGGAGAAAGCTCGATTTGTATAAAGCTGCACGGATATAGCCTACAAACCCGCTCATTGGAGGGGCATGTAGGATTCATTGAGTCGTTTCGAGATTTTTGGTTAGGGTAGAGCGGATCAAGCCGTGCGGAATTTGTTTTCCGCGGTCTGGATCTGGTGGTAGGCTCAATTCTTTATTAATACGGTGGGGGTGACTCAGGGCAGATATATCGAAGCCCCAATCAACTTGATCCGGCGACCGCCCTTAAGCCACAAGCGACACGGGCGTGCTTGTTCCAAGGCATCAATTAATCGTATGACTTGAGTTTCTCAGCCGCACCCAAAAGCTTTCTGCTGTTGGGTGCCCCGTACTCCGTAACATGATTGCATCTACTTTGTATTATCCTCGCGACGGACGATGGATCCGCGATCGACGGACCCGGCGGCATCATCTCTCCTCTTTTACTCGAACATTGCAAAAGCGATAAAGGATGTGACTGAAAGATATAATGCAGCACCGACAACATCATCCATCAGTGCTGAATCCCTAGCCATTAGCGGTGCATTGATGGACATCCAGTTACTGCTCACCCAACCTCATGCCCTCTTCTCACGTGTCATTTCACGGAGCCAGCTTGCCGAAGCTTTAAAGAGCGCGCAGAATTGCTGCTACTTTACGACTTCTAGGTTGGAGGAAGAAGTGGGGAAATGTGTGCGAAATCAAGCAAGCACGGGAAAAAGCCCTCGCACCTGGAGCATGACGCATTCATGCGACGAAGTACTGATAAAAGGACTTCTGCAGCAAACTCAGAGGCAGTTAATGGATGTCACCTTGCTGATTGCGGCAGCACAAAGGTAATAGAAATCTCCAGGTCTCAAGCTTCGTACGCTTGAAGCAACGCTGATAACATTTAGAAATTCTACTGTGGAAGTTCGGCAGCTCCTCCAAAATGACACTTTTCTTGGCCACTTCGACAGAAGGGATTCAATAAATGCCCCGAGTTCCAGTCAGCCTGGTGCATACGGTCAACCTCATTGGGAACAACTTTACGCTGACACGAAGTCCATATATACTCAAACCTCCGAAGGTGTATCTGTCTACAACTTTCGCACGGGTCAGGGTGAACCATATAGTGAACTTGATTGTGACACCGTGTCGGTGATATCCAAGTCGCAGTTCGCACCATCACTATCTGACAAAACCAAGAAGGTACCACGTGCACACATGGGATCCATATTTTTCAAACTTTTTAAATCCAACACCGAGTTACACCGTGCCGCCAAGAAAGGAGACGCGAAGAAGATAAAGGCGCTCTTAGATTTGGGCGTGGATGTCAACTACGAGGGTTCGTCCGGATGTACAGCGCTGCACCTGGCAACCGACTGCGGTCACGAAACAGTAGTTCGAGTGCTTCTGGACAATGGTGCAGATCCTTCGGTAAAGTCGAGTGAGGGACGAACTCCGCTACATAGTGCAGCCCGCACCGGTCACACGGCAGTTGTACAGCTGCTACTGGAGAAAGGTGTTGATGTCCATGTCAAGGATCCCTCCGGATCCACTCCGCTTCATATAGCAGCTTACAACGGGCAAGAGTCGGTGGTCCAGATTTTGCTCAAGAAACACCGCGTCGTCGAGGTACGTGGACCTTCTGGATTTACTGCACTGCATGTTGCGGCTTTCAACGGACAATCGGCTGTAGTACGTCAGCTAGTTGAAATGGGGGCAGACCTCGAAGCACGAAGTGACACGGGGCGGACAGCGCTACAGCTGGCAGCGGAAAAAGGGCACGAGGCTGTGGTGCGACACCTGTTGCAGCATGGAGCCAACGTTATGACGAAGGACAGTATGGGACGGACGGCACTACAGGGCGCGGTCTCAAACCAGCACGGAGTGGTGGCACAACTGCTATTGGACAACGTAGTAGTACCAGAGGCCCGCTCGCACCGACCACTCCAACGAGGTTCTGGGTCAGGAACATTATATGGATTAAATGCAGTCAATCCAGACCCCAATATAGCAAAGTCGAATGCGCCTGATCCTCCCACATGGCCGCAACAGGTCTCGAATGTACCGATATATGAGCTTCCCGGTTCATCGTTTCAGTTGGCGGAGTTGCCGACACGTGATATCAACGTAGGGCTGAGGACCCCGACGTCAACAACCCAGCGGGCCGCCCTGCTACCACACCAAAGAAGATCAGGAGCAAGGTGATGGTGGAGCTTGAATCTGTCCCTACAATTATATTATTTAAGCATAGGAGAACCATAGGAGACGGCTTTAAGATGGGAGTATACAAAGAGCTTTAGACATGTTGAATTAGGTTTACTTTAAATTAATTTGTTTAATCTAAAGCTAAGCTTTTATATAAAATATATGTTATTTAAAAGCGTAAAAGACTACATTATGCTAAAGTACGCGAAGATAGCTTTAGAAGACACAGCAGAGTTTAAGAGAACTATATAGAGTTCTAATATAAGTGTCTGTGTCTATAGCGTGCTGTCTAATAACGCTAGAGGTTCTTTATACCCTGTGAAGCTTAAGTTAAAGCTAGAGTATAATAAATATATTAACATAGTTAAGTCTAACAAGATGTTAGAAGTACTGTGTTACAACTACTAGTTGGGCTAGAGGAACATGCCGAGCCTCTAACCCTACAGAAGAAGGATGGACCGACGCTGGTAGAGGCACAGCCAACGGGGAGTACGTGATAACTTAGGCATGTATAGTGCAATTGCTATTCTAAGCATGTAATTGCTATAATCGCTCTCTTATATAGTAATTACAGCAAAAACTAGCAATTATCATAATTGCTAGTAAGAATATAGTCTTGTTCTTCTACTAACGTACACTACAGGCGAGTCGCTTACACACCTAAGTTACTTACTTTTACTAAGACTCTACTACAATACTTTTCTTACACTAATGCATTTCTAACAACGCTACTTAGACATGCTAAAAGAATGTTAGATATAGCTTACCGTTTGCAGTAGTCACACAATAGTCAGGTGCGTCGTCATCATGATCGGATGCGTCGGATGCGTCGTCACCATAGTCGCATGCATCTCACCATAGTATATTGCTAAGACTCACCTACTTATTCGCATATATATAGACTCCTACAAAGGACTCCTCTGGCAATGAATTTAATCTAGTTCCTTATGCCTCTAGTGCTCTACATAGCTTCACACTTACACTTTAGGCTTTTAAATAAAACATAACACTCTTAAAGCAACATGCTGCAGCTATGTACAGAGTCTCTTAAAAATAATAAATAACTAACACACTAGACAGCTTTTATATGCTAACTCTATAGCTAACCTATAAAGGCTAGGTAATAATAAAGAGCAGGTAATTATTAAGCACATAGTTAAGCTATATGCGCAAGAATTTTCCTCTTAGCTAGTAGCTGTAGCTAATATAGCTAATTCTTTACACGCTAAGCGTAATTTACACTATGTTAGCATAAAGTAGCTTAGTATGTTTATAAAGTGTTATCTAAAGCTAAAAGTAAAGTTTAAGTATAGTTATAACTATAAAAAAGCATTTTATAAGAATTCTAAAGTAATTTAAAGCTAGTTTAACCTTATAAAGAAGATTAAAGCTAAGTATAGCATCTAGAATAACAACATATATAACTTTAATAAGATAGGCTTTATAATAGGCTAAATATCTACTAACTATACTTATACTTAAAACTTTATATTAAGCTTTAAATAACACTTTATAAATATACTAAGATAGTTTACGCTAACATAGCCTAGATTATGCCTAGCGTATAAAAGATTAGCTATATTAGCTATAGCTACTACCTAAGAGAAAAATCCTTACATATATAGCTTAAGTATATAATTAATAATTACCTACTCTTTATTATTACTTAGCCTTTATAAGTTAGCTGTAGAATTAGCTTATAATAGTTTTTTAGTATGTTAGTTATTTATTATTTTTTAAGAAACTTTATATATAGCTACAGCATGTTGCTTTAAAAGTATTATATTTTATTTAAAAGCTTAAAGTGTAAGCTGTATCTAACATTCTTTTAGCACATTTAAAAAGTGTTGTTAGAAATGCATTAGTATAAAAAAAGTAGTTTAGTAAAGTTTTAGTAAAAGTAATTAACTTAGGTGTGTAAGTAACTCGCCTGTAGTGTACGTTAGTGTATGTTATAAAATAATTTCCTGCAAGGTTTTTAAAGTGTGAAATAACAGCGTACTCTAAGCAAGCTTTGCTTTTATAGATTATTTCTAAACTGCTGTAGTATTTTAAAAAGCCTAAAGCTAATTAGTTATATTACTTTTTCTACTATATGCTTTCTTTACTAACTTTCTCCTTTTTACTCTACTTTCTACTAGATTATATAAAGAACTATACGCTTCTGTTACTCTATTATAAGAAAAAGAAGTATTATATAACCTGTGACGTCGCGTACCGCGTCACATGCTCTGCGACTCAAGCTCCCTCGCTTGCACAACGAGTAGCGCCTCAGCTGAGGGCATACATGTATATTTAAACTCGCAGAGCAGCTCCTCTGCTCCTTAGTTTAATCTAGTTGAGTTACACCACCTCTTGGTTGTAGCTTGAGCATGCCGACACATGTATATTTAAACTCGCAGAGCAGCTCTTCTGCTCATTAGTTTAATCTAGTTGAGTTACACTACTTCTTGCTTGTAGCTTCAGCATGCTAACTGTAACATAACCTTTTTACTCTATCTTTTCTTTTTACACCCTTTACTTCCCTAAGACTTTTTTACTATTAAAAAACTCCTAGTAACGTACTTTACAA